GCCTATGGCTGTTATCCTTTTCTCTACCCCAGTGGCTGCTTTTGTGATGGAACTTTCCATATCTTTGGAACTGAAACATAGGAGGGGCTGCACAGAACTTGAAGCTCAAGAAGAGTGGAAGCAAAAGTGGCTTAAACTTACCTTTGTGCCCTCCTAATCTCATCCTGCTCCAGGGGCCAATGCTGCTCTCAACATAGTTTAGAAAGCACTGCATTTTACTTTCCACTGCTACTTCTAATCCATTTGTAATTTCCTATTTTCAATACTTTTTAATGTAAAGGAATTTTATTGACTATATCTCCAGTTACAGAAGAGTTTCTATTTTTTGGACTGATAGAACTTTACTTTTCCACTACTACTCCCTTTAGATAACTGTACTTTTATCCCCATTGGAATCGTATTCTATACTTGCTGTTGGCTGTAAAAATGAAAAGAAGCAAGTGGCTTAATTTTCCTTTTTCTGGATTCATATTTATAATTAATTTTCCCTTTTGTTAGCAAAACAAAATGAAATTAAATAATCACTTTCACTTTTCTAATGTGCTTTTTTCAGCTTCTCATAAGTGGTGAGTCTTTAATATTAAAGATTTCCATTTTTTCATCTGTCCTTCAACAAAGTTTCTGATATCTTAAGCATTTAGTATTTGTCATATATTAATTTTTTTCCCAAGGCAATTCTCAAGCATTCTTGGGGACTGATCTTTTACTCATGCAACACTCTCCTCCTCTGCCTTCTCTGTGCAACCTACAAGGCCCCAAGTGACCCAAATGTAATCTATCCTAGAATAAGTTAAATGGTGTGTAGACCAAACAAACAAACAAACAACAAACAAAAACAAACAAACAAAAAGTATGTACTTTAGGAACAGGATGAGTTATTTACCATTTCTCTAACTCCTAGATCTTTCATCATAAGTTTAATAGGCTCTCTTACTTTAGATAGCAGTCTCTATCTAGGATACTATATTTATCCACATATAAATCTCCTAACTCTAAATCCTGTAACAATAGGTATGTTTAGCTTTCCCAGAAGCTGTGCTGAGACTAAGAATGTTGAATGTTATTATATTATGGTCAGTATTCCCAAGCGGTCCTGTAACAGTTATATCCTGGACCTGATCCTGCACTCCACTCAGGACTAAATCGAGAATTGCCTCTCCCCTGTGGGTTCCTGCACCAGCTGCTCCAAGAAGCAGTCATTTAAGCCATTGAGAAATTTTATCTCTGCTTCTCATCCTGAGGTGACATGTATCCAGAAAAAAGATCTTTTTTTTGGAAAAATTTTCCCCGCCTGTCTACACTGGCTGCGAGTATTTGTGCAAGAACACTGATCTTGTACTGTACAAAATCAGTGCTTCTTGCGCAAATACTCTGATGCTTCTGCTCAGGGATAAGTCCTCTTGCACAAGTATTCTTGTGCAAGAGGCCAGTGTAGACAGGTAACATCAATTACTTGCGCAAGAAAGCCCGATGACTAAAATGGCCATCGGAGCTTTCTTGTGCAAGAGAGCGTCTACACTGGCTCGGATGCCTTTGCGCAAAAGCAAATCTTTTGCGCAAAGGCACATGCCAATGTAGATGCTCTCTTGCGCAAATACTTTTAACGGAAAAACTCTTCAGTTAAAAGTATTTGTGCAAAATCATGCCAGTGTAGACACAGCCTGGGTGTTTTCTTTGTCTTGGATTGAGTTCTAGAATCTCATGTGTGGGTTGTGCCTAAATCTTGCAGATTTGTTATGCTTAACGTCTTTAAGATGCAGCCTTTCCTGCCCATCCACACAGCTTCAACCAAGTGGTCATCAGCTTGTGTCATGAATATTGCACCCTCCCTTTTTCTGGCCTTGACAAATGTAATCTTGTCCTGTTCATATCCATCTAGCAGTCCTCCATTGGTTCTCCCTTCTCTATCGTATCAAATAACACCACTTGCATTCGCTTTCAAGGCTCTTCGCAGCCTAACCCCACCCTACCTTTTAGCATCTTTAATTCAGTTGCAAGAATCTGACTCTTGCCTCTAATCAGGTCAAGGGATCAGCCTCTGTTGCTGATTTGAATTTTCAAACACTTTTGTCCATCTAGCAGTCCTCCATTGGTTCTCCCTTCTCTATCGTATCAAATAACACCACTTGCATTCGCTTTCAAGGCTCTTCGCAGCCTAACCCCACCCTACCTTTTAGCATCTTTAATTCAGTTGCAAGAATCTGACTCTTGCCTCTAATCAGGTCAAGGGATCAGCCTCTGTTGCTGATTTGAATTTTCAAACACTTTTGCGCTCT